AAACAAAAGCTAACCATTGGCAATCAATAATATTTCATCTAAAGCATTCACGCACACGTCTGTCTTTGTCGATCGACGTCTTTAGAAGAAAAGAAAATGTCCAATAGATATAGAACGATTCGTGGAAATCACTAAATAAGAAAACCATATAGAACACTATATATATATATATATATATATATATATATATATATATATATATATATATATATATATATATATATATATATATATATATATATATATATATATATATATATATATATACTATTATTATTACTGAAACGTTATTTTTAATGGATACCCATATTTGAGTACACGCTCCGTCTATTTATTAATCAGTATATTTATTTTCATCTGCCGCCCTAAATATTCGTGAAATATTTACATATATATAGGAATGGGTAGGATAAAAAAATATACACAATTATATATATATATATATATATATATATATATATATATATATATATATATATATATATATATATATATAGGAATGGGGATGGTAAAAAGGATAAAAATACACACAATTTTGAATGATCATCACGAGAACGCGATAGACAACGGTCAAATTAACTGCACGAAACTCCGAGTTGTGTTACCGACGTTGAATATTATGTATATTCACTAATACATATATATATATATGTGTGTGTGTGCGTGTGTGTGAGAGAGAGTGAAAGAAATTTGATATATAATTTCTATAAATCAGAACAGTGTTTGGTAATTAAATGAAAAGTGGAAAGATTCTGTGTATAGAGCGTCTGTTAATATAAAAGTGAACATTGAAGTGATCACTTAGAGGCGACAGGCTGTTTCATGCTAGACGCAATCGTCAGGCCATGACATGAAGACATGAATATCGCCTCTAAGTGTTGACTTCAATGTTCACTTTTTTTTTATATATATATATATATATATATATATATATATATATATATATATATATATATGGTGTATCAAAAATACTTTTTACAAACTTTTGTGGGACGGGTTCCTCCCACCAAAACAAGGATAGAAGTCCATAATATTATGTCCGAAAATCTTGATACCTGGATCGTCTCTGACAGCCTGTAGAATGTGTTCTTCGTGGTCAGGCTTACAAACGGATCTCGGTCTTCCTCGATAGATAGTTTGTGCTACCACGGATCCTGTTTCAGCAACACGACAATAAACAGTAGCAAAGGTTGGATGACTCGGCTGCCTTCGGTCTGGAAACGCAATCTGGTACAGCCGTGCAGCCTCGTGTTCGTTACAGTTTGCACGGCCGTATGTAAAAATCATATCTGCCTTCTCACAATATGAATATCTAGCTATTGTTAAACGGAACACTTCTCAGTTAACTCACTACTACACTGGTTAAACGCTGAAGACAGACTAGCCACAAATGTATACGAATGACAAATGTAACATAGTCTAAGTGGCAACACAGCGCCATCTATCTTAAACTTTCTTTAAACTTAATAACTCAAAAAAGGAAGATTTGCGGACATATATTTATGTGGACTTTTAACCTTGTTCACCTACAGGGAATTCCAAACTGAACACTTTATTTAATCTACGAGGGTTGATTGTTCTCATTCCACTGGCCATGTCTCGGGATATCTCGTCTTGTTCTTATTTTTAGTACTGGTCAGTTATTGCTCACCCTGTTTCCACTGAGTTCAAAAACACACTGCTCGTATCAGGGATTGAACTCACAATTACTATGCCATCAAGTTCACGAACCAACACTAAGTTATTGCTCACCCTTGGAACAATAAACTAGTGGACAATCTGGTGCCTAAAACCTAATCCTCTTTTGTCTTTTGCTGTAGCAGTTTTTGCTGCCTGTTTAAATCATATCTCGAAGGTTACCAACTGTAATGACATTCGATTGAATATTTCAACATTTTCAAAACAAAAGAACTCAACACATAGATGGATTTATATATATGTTGTGGTCACATGAGTGTTTTTTTAATAAGAGATTTTGTAGTGATAATATTGTACTGTATGCGATGCGACACGTAGTTCACTGGAACTAAGAAATCCAAGGAGCGGGGAAACGTGACACGCCTTACTACAATAGTATCCTTTGGTTGAAGAGAGAAAAACAGAAAGAGAGTTTGTGTCTTTTCCTTTCATACAACGCTGTTACAGACAAGCGTATGGTTGCAAGAAAGAAATACGACAACAGTAGAAATAGATTTACGTGATTTATTTCAACAGGAACGTGTGGGTTTGGGACAGCTACCCTGTGGTAAAGTTCATAAGCCGGCTTCGAATCTGGGTTGACCTCTCATAGTAGTTCACATTGGTTGGCGCTGGCGCCCCCCCCCCCCGCTGACTGCTCAGCCTGACTGTGACAGGTCTCTTCCCTGGCCTCCTGTTGACCGCCTGTTGTATTTTCGTGTGACCCCTTTTATGGCGTTTTTTATGGCTTAACAAGCTCGAAAAACGACGCGAGTATAATTAGGAGGGAAGCATTTTTATTGGTCGAAAAATAGAAACACTTTAAAATATTATTTTATTTTTCGACCGGAACTCGTACGTCGGGAACATGTGTAAACGAAGATAATGGTCATTTTGTGACGGGGCCTTGTCCCGTTCACATCCGGCTCTCGCTCTTGAGTATGTTAGTTTATTTGCCTGTAAATCAGCCGAGATATGTCTTATTTTATTTTATAACAACGCCACTTATCAGGCATTCAGAGAAGTCGCCTGGCGAACAAGGTAAAGTAATCCGACAACTGGATATCAAAGGTTATCCACAATATATGTCATAAACAAATGCTAACCACCTCTATTATTTATCACTTAACTTTCTTTCATGTTGATTTTTAATATGCAACCATTTCATATATTTTGTCTTTTTCAGAATGAATGTCATTTTCTGTTTCTTGTTCTTCCTGTCATTTATTTCAGCAAAGGTAAAACGAAACATTTTTTGTTTTTTTTCCCACCTTTCAAAACTTCAAATTTTCTTCTGAATTTTTTTCAAAACTTTGCTTTGAATATTGCTGCCACGTTTGGTCTGATGTTCCTGCTGTATATTTAGAGATTCTTGATAAAAGCGAAAGAAGAATCTGCAATGTTATTGGTCCTGATCTGTCATCTCGGCTTCAGTCACTTTCCCACCGCCGTAGCATAGTTTCCCTGAACTTTTTTCTATAAATATTGTCCTGTTAATTGTTCGAACGAATTTTCCTCTATGGTACCTAGACTTTATGGATTTAAGCACAGTACTAGATTGAAATGGCTAGATGTAACCGTAAGTTCTATGCTAACTGTTTCTTATCTCGCACTACTCGCTTGTGGAACTCACTCCCTGCTTCTTGCTTCTCACTCAAATTTGATCTTCAAAAATTTAAATGCAATATCAATCGTTATCTTGTCTTCTTAATTCTTGTTCTTTTATTGTTCTCTCTTCTTAATAGTAGCTTTTCTCATATTCTCTAACACTCAAACCCCCCCCATTGCGTCTTAGTGGCTTTGTTGCCTTGATTGGGGTGAAATGATTAAAAAGAAAAAAACAGTCTGTTTTTCAACAAATGTACCGATTTGTGGAATGTGTAGATATTTTCATTTTTTTAAAACTTCTGTTACCTGCGTTGCGATTCGGACCCATGCAAAACACGCCGCCGACGCCTCAACGGCTAACTGATCATATTTAGTATATTTATAAATATGCAGGTGTACGTGCATGATTGCTTACTAAGCTTATTTGCTTATTTGTGTGTGTGTGTGTGTGTGTGTGTGTGTGTGTGTGTGTGTGTGTGTGTGTGTGTGTGTGTGTGTGTGTGTGTGTGTGTGTGTGTGTGTGTGCTCGCGCGGATTTCTTCCTGTTTAAAAATAAGTTAGGTCAGGAAAGATGTGCTGTCTTTGGGTTAAGATGACCTGAGGTATGAAAATATTCTCTCGATATGAAACGCTTTGAAAATTGCAGGTTATATAAGTAATTAATGAGGATCGATATTTCAAAGCGAGGGAAAGTAGTTTGCACACAACGCATGCAGTTTGCACTGGAGGGTGGCATTGTGCCCTATTCAACTAAACGGTCAATCCTGTTCGGAAAATAATAAATTAACTCCTCCCACCACCTTTTTAGAACTGGCGATGCTATTGGAAACCATGACGTCACTGCTAACTAATATTCAAGTCATAAAATGCACCAGATTTCTTTCTCTTTGTCTCTTTCAATCTCCGACAATCGATGAGTGACGAGTGAACGGACCAATATTTTTAAAATGCCTAAAACTTTATTTACACAAAGAAATTTATTTTTCTTTTAATACAAATTACCTTTAGGCTATTATGTCTCGAAAAAAATGAAAATTTTACTTCAAAAAAGACATTTAAATTATTTAAAATGTGTTTTTCGGTTGTTTTCATTTAAGATGTTTGTGGTGGCACTTATCCACTCATCGAACCGACATCATAAACGAAAAATGTAAACAACTAATTTTAAAATCTCTTAAAAATACAATATTGGTCGTAAAGATTTCATAAAATTTATATTTAAATAAAAATGATATTGAAACTGTATGATAACAATAATGAAAATGTTGGAATTAAAAAGGAATATAAAAACTGTCATAAAAATATATTAAATTGTATGAAAAACTAATTAAGAAAATTAGAGTGTTACTAACATGGTTTCTTTAAAAAAAAAAAGTAACTGCCAAAATGAAGTTAGACAGTTTATAAAAAAAATACATGAATAAAAATTGATATGTAAATATTTAAAAAAACAGAAGTGGGCTTCAAATTGTTGTCATAAAAACCTCCCAAAATGTAGCCATACGGTTATTCATTTACAAAATGAGGATCAGGTTTGTTATTGTCAAAAAAAGCCTCCATATTTAAGTTGCAAGCGGGCGTGATTTAATTGGATAATAACTCTCGAGTTTTTTCCCAATGGGGTTAAAATGTATACATCTAAGGAGTTGATTTTTGATCCAGTTTGCTACTTAAAGGGTAATTTTGTCTGCGAAGACAGAAAGAAATAAATCTTCTCAAACTGATTCAACAGTCAAACGCGTAGGGCTGTCATATGCGAAAAAGAATTCAACACTCAAACGTGTGGGGCTGTCATCTGGGAAAAAGGATTCAACACTCAAACGTGTGGGGCTGTCATCTGGGAAAAAGGATTCAACCCTCAAACGTGTAGGGCTGTCATCTGGGAAAAAGGATTCAACACTCAAACGTGTAGGGCTGTCATCTGGGAAAAAGGATTCAACCCTCAAACGTGTAGGGCTGTCATCTGGGAAAAAGGATTCAACACTCAAACGTATAGGGCTGTCATCTGGGAAAAAGGATTCAACCCTCAAACGTGTAGGGCTGTCATCTGGGAAAAAGGATTCAACACTCAAACGTGTAGGGCTGTCATCTGGGAAAAAGGATTCAACCCTCAAACGTGTAGGGCTGTCATCTGGGAAAAAGGATTCAACACTCAAACGTGTAGGGCTGTCATCTGGGAAAAAGGATTCAACCCTCAAACGTGTAGGGCTGTCATCTGGGAAAAAGGATTCAACACTCAAACGTGTAGGGCTGTCATCTGGGAAAAAGGATTCAACCCTCAAACGTGTAGGGCTGTCATCTGGGAAAAAGGATTCAACACTCAAACGTGTAGGGCTGTCATCTGGGAAAAAGGATTCAACCCTCAAATGTGTAGGGCTGTCATCTGGGAAAAAGGATTCAACACTCAAACGTGTAGGGCTGTCATCTGGGAAAAAGGATTCAACCCTCAAACGTGTAGGGCTGTCATCTGGGAAAAAGGATTCAACACTCAAACGTGTAGGGCTGTCATCTGGGAAAAAGGATTCAACCCTCAAACGTGTAGGGCTGTCATCTGGGAAAAGGATTCAACCCTCAAACGTGTAGGGCTGTCATCTGGGAAAAAGGATTCAACCCTCAAACGTGTAGGGCTGTCATCTGGGAAAAAGGATTCAACACTCAAACGTGTAGGGCTGTCATCTGGGAAAAAGGATTCAACCCTCAAACGTGTAGGGCTGTCATCTGGGAAAAAAGAAGAATTCAGTCCTCGCGCGAAAAGGCTGCCAGCTGGGATAATAACTTTAACAATGTATTTCAAAATAAATGAGTAAATTTAAGGATTAATTAAATGAAACTTGCAAAATAATGTTTACATTTTGCTTAAAATATAATGAAAATAACGTTTATTTACACACGGTACACTGTGATGTGTCGGAGTTAACTCCTCCTTCAGTCCGTTAACCCTTTCACCAGGGGTCTCTCTTCCCTGGCTATAAATAGCCGCTGACCCTTCACCTCTATCTCTTTTTCCTTCAGGCCTGTGCACTGACACCTTGAGGTAAACTCTCTTATTCCTAGAGGATTTTCAGCTATCAACCTCGAAATGTAGTCGCTAACAAGGGATAGCGTGGAAACACGCTAAGCCCAATATTCACACACGCGCGCACATACAGAATATTCACACACGCACGCACATACAGAATATTCACACACGCACGCACATACAGAATATTTACACACGCACGCACATACAGAATATTCACACACACTTCGACCTTTGCACTATATATTATGTATTTGTTGTGTTTATAAAAAATATTCATTGTTGAACAAATTCACATTTTCTTCTACTTGATTATTTCTCTTGTTGTTGTCTTTGTTACATTTGATATTGTAAAAATTGTAGAGGGTCAGTTTTTTATTTCTATTTATAACCAATACAAATTGGCTGACCCACTATAGATGTCATAGACCATGAACAGTATTTTTCTACTGTAATCCCTGATTTCAAGAGAGCACGGAAAAATTCTTTTTTTTTTAATTAAAGAAATACGGAACATCAGCAGTGCATCAAGAAATTAATATTTATGCTTGAAAATAAATTATTTTTAACCCTATATATAACCAACAGTTTAAGAATTTAATTTTTTATTCTGATCGTTTTTATGAAATTTAGCAGAAAGAATAATTTTATTTTTATATTATATTAGCAATATAAAAAAATTCATTAAAAACTAGTGAAATGATACACATCTGAGTTTAATTCGCGGCTTTTGTTTTTTTTATTTTCTTGTTTGATGTCATAAAATATTTAAGTACAATCTTAACGTAGAGTTAACCATTATCTTTTCCACATATCCTCATAAACTGCCCCTCTTACCTCTTACCTCTTACCTCTCAGGCAAACTCCTCCTTCACTAATCCTCTACCTTGAATGGCTCTTGGGCCTCGTATAGGATGAATATTAGTAAAATAAATGATATTTCATGAACTAAAATTATTATATACTGAATCCAAGAACTACAATTAAAGGAATTCAAGGAGGCAATATGTGAAAAGCACCAATTCAATGGCAACATTTATTAAATTTGTAGAATTCAAAAAAAAAATCATAGTAATATGCAGGCGAATTGTACTACGTAGAAAATATACAATCAAGTATTAAGCAAAATTCATTTTGCTTTAATTCACCTAGACACCTACAGATCCATTAATGATTCTATTCAGTTGAAAAATATGGTATTGATTCCAAACTTATATTTTTCATCAATGTTTAAATTTACTTACAGCAAACAATGTCATTGCTTTTTCAACCACTTCATTTTTCCCACCCGAGGAAAATAACCAGGGAAATATGTAATAATTTCACAAGGTATTTGGTATTTATAAAACCCTTTAAAATTAAAATTTACGTTTTTTATTCATTAACTGCATACAAATTTACTTCGATGAAAGTGTATAGAAAGTGCTTTAATCGCGTGATCATCCACAATAAATTTGCATCCAGGTTCTTACAATATTTCACCTTTTTTTACCAGCCCTTTTATTATTACAATGTGGAATATTTAATAACAAATGTGAAAAAAAAAAACAAGCAAAAACAAAAAGAAACTAAATTGAATTTGCTAGATTATATACCTAAAAAAAAAATTAAATTTAAAAGTTTAAAATTTCAGCGTCTGCTTCTCTTCGTGCGCGTGTGTAGATACTTCAACGTAAACATTGTTTTTTTTTTAGTCAGATGAAATGCGAAAGGTCGAAACGCATCAAACGACATTTTTTCCAACTTTGTCATTAATTTTCTTAGCATTGTTCTGGTTTATAAAAAATCTCCCATCAAAATTCAAGTGTTGTTTACAAATTAATTACTTTTTGCCATTTTTGTTTTAAGTAAAGTTTCGATTAAATCACGGCTACAATTACAACAGTTTGATTTCATGCAACTAAGTTTTGAGAAATCAGCCTTTTGCAGCTGTAACGAAAAAGACCAAAAACCTTTTTATGGATTTTATTGTATCTTGGCACAGTTAATGCATTACTGCAAACGAATTAACGTATGACAGTTTAATGAAATCGATATTTTAATCTTTACAATTATTAGGCTTTTAATTGCGTATTTTTCATTTATTATTCTTACATTCCTCCCTCACGGAGATTCTGGACATAGAAAACAGTTTATAGGATATAAACTCCGATATTTTACGGTCAATCCGCGAAGCACAAAACAAGTGAGAGACACCTACAAATTAATCCTACTAAAATCAGTAGATACGAAAAGTCTTTAGAAAACACAGCTCCAAAATTAAATAATTGGTTCCTGGAACCTGATTTGATATGATAAGTCACGTGATGTGCTCTCTTGGAAATAGGTAAGGGTTTGGGTCACGGAATACGTTCCCGCCAAAAACCAGATATATTTCGCGAGCCGATCACCGATTCGCCATAAGCCATATAAAGTCAGCAGACAAATCTGAAACAGAACAGTCCATGACCAGTTCTGCAACGACAGTCGGCGAAAGACAGTCAGCGAACCCGACCAGCCTCGAAACACGTTACCGTGACAACACGTCAGTCAGCGATAATTCTTTCTACCTACAACGCCACAACGAAAGTAAGTTTGGTCTCTGATTCTCTTTATTTACTGTTGTATTTCCGTGTGCTTCACACAAACACATATTGGCGTAAATAAATTCGAAACTTTACAGACTCATCGAACTATTGATCTCTTCATGAACACAATAAAGAACATTCATGTTCAACATGTATATATCTATATATTTATTGTATAAATGTTATTGTCATATTTAATTTGGTCTTCTTTATTATGCCAAGATCATTTCTTCGTGTTGTTTATAATGTTCTATTGTAATTTGTGAACATGACACTCGGATTTTATTTTTCGATCTAAAGTCCGGATAGACTGCATCCACAAGCTATAGACATTGCAGATATAAAAAAAAAACAAAAAAAAAAACATTGGCGTAAGAAAAATTCTAGTTGTTCTCTCACGTTTGCGACTAAGACTGGGAATGTTGATAAAGAGGAGCTAAAATTTAACAAGCTATGTTTTTAAAGTTAGATTTTTTTTTCTCCAATTTATTGTCACTGAAATCAGTGTTTATACAAGAAAAGAGCTAACATCTTATCACAATTCAAAATGCATTTTACAGTTTATAAACGGAAGACCTTTTATCAGAGAGTAACGCGAATTAATATATAAACAGCGTTTTTTGTTGAATGACGATGATGTTCATTATTTACATTATTCGGACTATTGTCCTCATCTTTGTCGCCATATTTATCACAACGTTTCGGCCGTTGTACGCTCCGGCCTTCTTCAGGTGGTTGGAAGTCCTCAAGGACACATGACACAGTGGATAAAGGCGTTGGTTAGATCCAGTGACAGGACCCAAAGAGTGCGATTTCAATACCTGGTTAAGGCAGTGGAGATCTTTCAGAGGAAAATTAGCAGGAGATAACTGATAACTGACATCCATCAAACATGGTACGTGGAACTAGAACAGTCTACGCCAGTGAGCGAAATAAAGGGTTCAGTTCGAAATTCCAACCACCTGAAGAAGGCCGGAGCGTACAACGACCGAAATGTTGTGATAAATATGGCGACAAAGATGAGGAAAATAGTCCGAATAATGTAAATAATGTACATAATACCTCATCTCAGAAATAGAGACAGACTCTGACGATGATGTTCATTAAACGAACTGGGAGTGGAAGAATGACCCTTTAATTGAACATGGAAGTTCAAAGTACTTTGTAGCAACATTATTTATTTGCGGTCTGTCTCGACTAAAATATTTTGGTGAGGGTCGAGTGTTGGCTGGGATGTACGATTTATGACTTTTTCTAATTATGTTGGCAGAAGGGAGGATTTCAAGTTCCATAAAAGAGGAGCTTTTCTGGGTGCGCTATTCAGCGGATAAAGTCTCATTAATGGGTCCGGTTCATAAAAGTGAGTGTCATTTATCCAAAATCTGGCCTCACCACCAAAAGCGTTAAACTGAATATTCGCTTCGTCGAATGGAAAAAAAATCTAAACAATTAAATTATTGAGTACTAGCAGTAGAGCCCGGTGTTGCCTAGGGATGTAACAGTAAGAGATAGATCAAGTATCGACCATCATAAAGACTGAAAAATAAAATTGCCAAAGATTATTGTTTAAGGTTGACGGACACGCATAAGAAACAAAAAAAAGTGAAGTTTTGTTGAAATCGGTTGAAAAATGTAGGAAATCCGATACCATATATAAACGAACACACACACACACACACACAAACAAAAACCTGGGTTTTATAATAAGCATAACTCGATATGAGTTGTTCCCTTTTCATTCTGTGAAAGCGATGCCTCTTAATCGTGTTTTCAAATTGATTTTGTGCAAAAACAATTGTTTTTTTCAATTTTTGGCGCTGTCAGAACCACCGCAAGGTAATTTTACGTAGTCCTGTGAAGTTTTGTTGAAATCGGTTGAAAAATGTAGGAAATCCGATCCAATATATAAACGTACAGACACACACACACACACACACACACAACCTGGGTTTTATAATAAGTATAATTATTTATAAAGAAAGTTGCATTCAGGTATAAAAGTTATCTCCCTTTAACTTTTTAAATTTTGATTTTTCCATAAAGTTTGAAGTTTTCTTCATGGAAAAATCAAAATTTAAAAAGTTAAAGGGAGATAACTTTTATACTTGAATGTAGCTTTCCTTACAAATAATACTCAATAATTTGATTGTTGCTTATTTACGATAATAAATGATTGACAACAAGTTTAAGAGGATTTAATGCTGAAATTCGTTCGGTTAAAGATAGGAAATTGTCTTTTTGTCGGCCAACGAAAATATAAAAATCAAAAACAATTAAAATATAAGTATTCTTCAAAATAGGAAAAAGAAATAAATCTGTTTTTCCATTTCCTCTTGCGTCGTTCTTTTTTTAATTTGGTGGTGAAATCGTGGTAAATCTTTTTTTTTTTTTACTGATTGAGATAGATGACGATATGGATTTCTTTTTTAAGGAAATACAAATCAATTTAAGACAAATTCCACAGACTGAATAGCATTTTTTTTTTTTTTTTTTTTTTTTTTTTCATAAATTGTCGAATTTCTTCTCTTTTCTGGTTGTTATTTTCATTATTTTTCAAACTAACTCTCCAGTTGTACTTTAAAACTTTACTTTCACTGCGTGGTATATTACTCTTGGTTTGACTAAAAAAAGAAGCATAAAATTACGTTTGTTAGTTTGTTTTTCACTAATGCTGTTGGCGGTCGACAAAAATCGGCAATTTTGAAAGTGAAATAAAGGCTAAAGCGTTTGGTTTTGAAAAATAAATAAGAACACAGACTCAAAGCAGCAAGAAAAGTGCATTCAAAAATTAATAAATAATTAATTAAAAATAAAAAGAGTAATAATCAGTAATATGAATAATTGATTCAGAAGACATTTTTTTTTTAAATATTTGACTGCTTCAGCTTAGACAAATATTTAAATGAGTTTGTTTTTCATCATTTTTACTCGTTTTTAAATGTTCTGGGAATAAAATCAAAATATTATGATGTGAATGAAGATGTCTGTGCTAAATTTATGGAGAAAAAGATTTTCTTTGTAAATAAACAAGCAAATTAACGTGTGTCATTTTTTTAAATAAAAATATGTATAAATTTAGAAGTTATCTCCCTTTAATTTTCAAACTTTTCAGTGAAGTGAAAATTTGACTTAACGTTTTTGGTAAAGCCAATTTTCGGACAAATGATATTCGCTGTTATAATTGTGAAAATGTAAAATGTATCGAAGGTTTATCAACATGTCTATAGCTAAATGCTGAAAGTTATTGGGAATTGGAGTGGGCCCCATATAAGATTCCCACGTAACGTAAACTTATTGAGGGTGAGTTGATGTTCTCGCCATCTACGGACTCTGTGGTGATAACGGTGTACTATAGAGAGATGACCCATCAGCATGTGGTCATTCTGAAGGTTGTACCAAGAGTTAAAAAAAAAGTTTTTCAAAAAAGGTAGAAAAGTGCGCCAATCAGCTGTGCGATTTCAACTGAAAAGGGTCTTACATGTGTACTATTGTGTAACCTTTGTTTTGCTACGTCATGTGTGTTGGGACTTACAGATTTGTTTAATAATTACTAAGCTGAGACTGTTTTTTAAACGTTCACCTGGTGTAAATGCTCTTTCTTTGGAAATGCGAGATCCACGTCTTCTTATGCAAATTAAGTATTTGGTCCCCCCCCAAAAAAAAAAATTATTTCTCGGTAGGGATTACTGGACACGTCTTCTACCTACCGTACCCTATTTCTGGATGTGCAAAATATAAAAAAAAGAGAGAAAGCGGGGTACTCCCCTTCTATTTATAGTCTTGAATAGAACAGAAGCTAGCAGGCCTTGTGCCTGACAATATGGAGTAATATCTTGTTCAGGCAAAAAAAAGTTCTTACCTCCGATGATCAACTTTGACTTGTCCTTCATCTGAAATGCATGTCTGTTTGTTTACTTGTATGGTTGACCACATTTGCATGTATTGATCTATTCATTTAAAAATAGTAAGAATTAATTAAATAAAGGAAGCGGATCTAAATCGGTTTTCATTGTTTTATTGATCGATTGTTTCTGGTCATTGGCTTTTTTTTTTAACCTTCTCGATTGAAGGCAGTTGAACAAAATTGGCAACATTGTTTTGGCTTCATGTAGTAATTTATTGAGATTTCAGTGAAATGTTTAATTTTTTTTTCCAGATCAGTGACTTGCGAACTGGTAAGTAATCTGTCTTTTTTCCGCTTGCCCTCCCCAATCCACCATCACCATGTGAATGTGCAGTGGCCGCTTTATAAATGAGGCATAAGATTGGATTTTGTTCATTTACTAATAATGAAATTATCTCACTCAACTATAATGAGGATTTTCCAGGGTGTGGTTATTTCAAGTTGAAAACTAGAATTGAATATTTTAAAAATCACCTTTTCTTCTATCTCTCGTTCTGTGTGTGTGTGTGTGTGTGTGTGTGTGTGTGTGTGTGTGTGTGTGTGTGTGTGCCTCTCTCGTCCGTAGTTCTGTCTGTCTGTCTGTCTGTCTGTTTCTTTCTTTCTTCCTACTTCTCTCTCCGCACCCTTCTCTCTTGTTCCTTGAAATTTTGTTCCTTAAAATTCTCCTCCTCTCTCTCTCTCTCTCTCTCTCTCTCTCTCTCTTTATTCATCTATCTATCTATCAATTTCTTCCATACTGTAAAATTCTCTCTGTCGCCATCCGCCCCCCACTCTCTCACGTATTCTACTTATGTCGCTGCTTATAAATTTATTTCCATCATCTTTCGCAATTTGTCATAACGTAGTTGTCTCCCCTCAACCAAGTTTTTTTTTACTCGTCTACGCAATGACCAATGTCGTTTTATGTATTTCTCTGCCAGACGTAACACCCCCCAAAAACCCGGCCACATTAATGTGGTTTCAAATCAGGACTAAACACATTAGGATAATATGAATAATAATGAATCTTTTGAAAGATTTCTCGGAATAACAAATGATCTTTGTCAGACGCCCTCGTCTAAATTTAAGTTTTACAACCGGATCCTCTCCCTCATTTCACAATTCTTTTTATTGGAATATTTTCCAAAAATTGTATACCTCTCCCTCTTATTAAGTAAAACTTGGAATTATTTTAAATTCTACTGGGTGATTCGATTCAGTCGATTCTTTGAAATCTGTCTGCCTGCACCCATTGCAAACATTAATTTTGATTTAATTTAAAATGATCATCAATAATATTGCTTACAAAATAAAAATTATCTAAAGAAAGAAAAAGTGTGTCTTTTAAAATATTTAAAATTTAAAAAGAAAAAAACTTGGAATTAATCTGTCCTTAGTGAAAGAGGGGGGGGTTGAAATGGAATTTAAAATGGAGTTTATTGGCACAAAAAATCTGAACTCAACAAAGGAGAAATTCCAACCTAAATTATTTATAGCCATTTTTCATACTAATATCTCTTGGTGTCTCATCGTACAACTGTAATAGCATTATGTGAGAAGACAATTACTAATGTACTGAGTTCAATGTGTATTTGTATTCAACTAATTTGTGTAAAGAAAAATGTCCAAAAATGAAGTATGTATTCTAAATTTTACTAAAACCAAAATGGCTACCATATTTTCTGTAAGCAGAGAGAAATTTATACATCTTTTGGGAGACACTGTAAAATTTTTCTACACCTTCCTGATTTTCAGGAGACTGTCTACTGTCTAATTTTCTGTTTATTCACTTTGGGTTAGACTGGAGAGTGAGAGAGAACAAGTGAAAGATAAAAAAAAAAAAAATTATTGTTGTTGTTTTCTTGTCTCTTTCCTACTTCATCCTTTTTTTCACTTTTTCCCATTTTCCTTGTCTTTATAATCATTCAATAACCCTTTACTTGGAAATGAATTATTCTCAGCATGAAAAAAAAGAAGGCAGTTACAAGGGAGACAACTCATTGATAGTTGTATAAACCCGTATCTTGTAAATGTAATTTGGTTTTATATAACGTATTGTAAGGAAAGCTAGGGAAGATCAAACTGGAGACACTAGGGAGTGACTTGCAAAGTCTCTTCATACCATCTGCGTGTATCTGTGTGAAAATAGAAGCAGGATGACTTCTATTTATTTGCATGGAAACTTCAATAAATACAGTGAGCACAATAACACCGTTTGATACAGCAAATTTTCAGCAACAAAATATTATTATTTTCATATAGTCACCACTATCAGCTAATATATGTTTGACGGGGATGAAAAGTTTATGTGATGACTTCTGTGCAGGATCACCCGGCTTGTTATGTAGATTGCTGTTGCCATTGATGAAACACATTACCCATTTCTTAACTGTGCTCACATTCACTGTTTGGTTTCTATAAACATTCAGCGCATATCGATTATATGCCAATGAGTGAAATATTTTGGCACGGTGAAAATCAGAGATACATCTCTGCTTCATATACACTTTCATTGTTAGAAGACATTTTACCAGACTACTACTCAACTGCTATCTGTAATAAGGCAAAAAAAAAAAATGAGTTACTAGTGGAAAGGTTCAACCACTACAGCTAACCAATGGCATAGGGCAAAATAATAAAATCATGACAAATTTGATTGGATCAGTTTGAAGGAAATTTTTGGAGATAATGTTCTGTTGTATTTTATATTTATATAAACTTATATAAATTTATGGTAAGTCAGTGTATGTGATACTTACGTTATATATATATATATATATATATATATATATATATATATATATATATATATGAAGATACCTTTTTCAAATCTTTCGTATCCGAGACAATTATTACTGAGAGCTAAAAATAAAGCGTTGAAAATTCACTCATCAGCGCAAAATGACACCTCGAAGGCCACTACAACTACATCAGTGAAAGGTACACTTTCAGCTGCCCCTGATAATAATTCCTTTGGTCGCATCTTTCTACCAAATAACCATTTGACCGAACGTATCTCCAATAATTTAAATGCGTTAAATAAAACTACAATATTACCTACTAGAACTATCCGTAGTTTATTAAATAACACCAGCAAACAACATACATCCGATGCTTGCATCTACCAAATCTCATGCAAAAACTGTCACTTAAAATATGTGGGTGAAACATGTAGGTCCGTAAAATCTCGTGTTTTCGAACATAAACGAGATATTCGCCTCGGAAATTTAAACAATGCTATAGTTGTATACACAGCTAAAGCAGATCATAATTTCGATTTTGATTCCCTGAAGATTTTAAAATATTTTCATAATAAAAATCTTAGGCGGATTTATGAAGCAGGCATAATATCCATCTCACGCACGGTGAATACTAGACCTGGCTTCTTTAGTATTTCCCTTTTTCTAGTGAGATTAATGCTCGACAAGCATACATATAAATTTTAGATCAAAATAGAATTCTTTTCATTTCAAATTTTAGGAATACATTTTCACAGCGTCACTCACGTGACGACAACGTGACCATGTTTTAAACGGAGCGCTGATCTTATAAAACTTTCAGTTATCTGTTTGGATAAGTCTTGTTTTTATGTACATCGTCTTTGTCATGTTGTATTGATAATGTTATAATTTATGAATATGTCCTGAAGATGGTTTATTAGACCGAAACGTCCGATGTTGACATATTAACAGTAAAACAGCATAATTGTATATAAGGATTTTTGTTTGTTTTTTCCGTATATATTTTTCTTCATACTGTCGGATCTATATCCATATATTTGCTTACACATATATATATATATATATATATATATATATATATATATATATATATATATATATATATATATATATATATATATGCTATCTATTAAGAGTTTTCATCTGACAAGTCAATGTAAGAATAGGACATGAGTTTTTAGATTAATATTTTAGTTTTATAGCATTTTGCAGTATTGGGCCAAACTACTTCTTGCATAACGTATCCTAAGTTAAATTTCTTTATCTGCTAAACTAACTTTCTTATAACTGATAATAATATCGCATTAGTGCTGTAACTAAATTTTGTTTTCTATAATATTAAATTTTGTTTTTCTATAAAATTAAATTGTTTCTATAAAATTACATTTTGTTTTTACTATAAAATTAAATTTTGTTTTGTTTCTATAACAATTTTCTATAAAATAAAATTTTGTTTCCTATTAAAAATTTTTACAGTAAAATTAAATTTTGTTTTCTATAAAATTAAATTTTGTTTCTATAAAAATAATTCTGCAAGAAAAAATGTTTATTCTTGTAATTATCTCTCTAGTTTTGTTTTCAATTGTTTTTTTGTTTTTTGTACTTATGTTTTTTGCTTTTGTTTTTTCGTTTTTTTTAATTTCAGCCAAGAATATCTGTTTAGGTGATGGCAAATTGAAGTTTCAACTGAACATAACAGCAAATGATTCGGTGAATGATATTTTTTCAACAGATGTGCAAAATACTTGCAGTCTAACAGGCAATAACTTTACTGGGAATGGCACAGCAGATTTTCCATACGAAATAACAGTTAATGTTGGTACAAGTGGTCATGTTTCTCCTCATCCGTGTGGAGCAAGGGTTGGTAATCCATCCTACTTATAATTGGTCTTGTCTCTCCTTTTGTTAGTTCGCACAACCGTTACGTCCTGCCACTACCTCATAAATAATGGACTATCGCATTTTGATCACGTGGAAAGTACACTACTTGGTTTCAGTGAGAAAATGAAAGAAAGAATAGAAGATAGAAGTGTTTAATTGTTGTTTCCGTGAAATTTTTCATTTGTATCCCCTTACTTCTTAAAATAGTGACCAGCATTCATATTTATGATTGTTATTGCAATATTTTGTTAAAGTTGCTAAGCTCATATATTTAACAATGAAATAGAGGAATTTTTATGGATATTTTATTGTCATAAAACTCGCCATCAGCTTATTCAATCATTAACTCAAGAATTAAAAATAGGAAAATCATGAAATGTTCATGGGTTAAAATTAGTTGATCATTATTCTATTACTGTATTTTCCGGCTTACAAGATGCTCCAGCTTAGAAGACACACTTTATTATTGGAAAGAAATTTCTAAGAAAAAAACAAGCCATTTTCATACAACACATTCACCATGTGTCCCTCATATACTGGTGTCACGTATTGTTTACATTAATCACTTGTCTGATTTTGTTTGTATGCCAATGACATACTAGTCAAGAGTAGAAAGGCTCCCACCGCTACTAGTAAACAAACAGAGCATGTTTAAGTTTGTGGCTCGGCTCCAGGAAGGTTTATAGTCTTGGAAATACTTGTAACAGCTAAGTACTGAGGTTAATTCATATAAAAAGGTTGAATTAGATAGATAGCTAACATTTTAGTGTAATGACTCAACATACAAATCCACAACCCTATCAGTCAAGCCAATTAGGCGACCATCAAAGCTTACTTGAGCCTGAGCGTTGCCTTACATTCATCTTGGAAGATGCACATGTATTTTTCAGGGTATTTGTTAAGAAAAAAAAGTGCATCTTGTAAGTAGAAAAACACAGTAATCAATTTCAGAAGTTTTGCCATGGGTCTTCTTAAAAATACAAACTTTCACAGAAATGTCCAAAAGATGACAGAAATATTTCAGTTATATTTAAATTGCCCTGCCTATATTTTTTGCAAGAGTAATTTCAAATTTTTATCTATACTAGCAATACCTGTAAAAATTTCACAATTCTCCCATTTGAATTCTCTGATGAATTGTAATTCTCAATTCAAATATTGAATATGCTACCTATGAGTTTCATGACTATAAAATGCCCATTGCATCATTAAATATTGGAACTTTAACAACTTTAACAAAATATTTCAATAACAATCATAAGTATTAATCACAGTCATTATTTACAGAAGTAAGAGGGTACAAATAAAAAAATCCAAAATTGACAAGTTTTTCAAAAGTTTTTAGAAAATTTTTGTTCTATGGTTTTGTGAAAAATGTTTGCGTCTCTATAAATAAAATAAAGTCCATAAAATCAAAATCATTTTAAACCATATTGTCAGTTGACCATCAAACATCATTAAAATAGTTGACATTATGAAATAAGTCTCCTTTTATGTGCTGAGTTCATCCAGGATTTTGACAAGAAAAATTGTTTTTTATGACACAGTGAACCAACTTTCCTAGCAACTGATTTGATATAATCACTCCGCTTCATGTCAGTGGAAAACACGAGCCCAAGAAGGTGCAATGAGTTGCTCTCCTGGTGGTTAGCATCAGCCATACTGATGGGAGGTTAGCATCAGCCATGCTGATGGCAGATATAAAAGGTTTGGAGGTCATTTCCAAGAGCAGCTGCCAAGTTTAATTTGTTGGACCTGTTGGACTTGTTACTAAGACAGGGGTAAATGATTTGTGCCATCAACATAAATACCTAGTTGAGAAATGATGACACAAAGAAGGTCACTAATGAAGATAAGAAGCAGTGTAGATCCAAGGATAGAGCCCTAGATGACCCCCGCCCATGCAAAATTATCTTAGATGCATTCAATATGACCTTCTTTGCTCTATTTCTCTTTCATTTCTCTTCTTTTTCCTACCATTTTTCTTTTTGTCATTTGCCTTTCCCCCTCAGGTTTTCAATGGGTCATTTGCAGTGGAATTTGCAGTCAAAAGTGGAGAGAATTTCTTTCAGAAATATGATCGTATTTATACACTACAATGTCGAATTCATAATCCACAAGAAAGGTATGTGGAAAATTTTAATCTGTTTGGAAGTTTTATAAAAAGTGACAAAAAATCCGCCGCCATTTTGCATGAAACCTTTTGGTTAAGATGCAAAAAATATAGCGCAGTCTGCACAAAAGCTTTCTACATTCACTTTATATCAGTGTTAATTAAAACTTTTTAAGTTGAAGAAACAAAACATGAGATAATTTTTCTCTTTCTTTTTAACTTTATGCAGTCACATATTTATCATTGTGTCCCATAATCTTTTCTGCTATCTTTTAGAGAATATTTCCATCCACTCAGAACGTTTGACAAAATGTCTGATTCAACTGGTAACATTCAGTTTATATGCAAAATAGGAAATGTTTCTTTAAAATTTGCAATGAACTTTGGTTTTATTTTAAGATTGAATTCATTTTTGTTTTTATTTCCAGTGCTTTTATAACCAGCAACTTGAACAATGAATATTATCCCCCAAAAGATGTACCCATTAAAATGACATTAGTGCCAGTAAATCCTACAGAACTTTCTGATGGACAGGTGAAACTGGGAGAAAAAGTAAAATTAAAAATTGAAATTTTAAAAAAACTTCGAGGTAAGATTATCTTTTTATGATCCAAGTCAAAATCAGAAATGAAATGAATATTTATTATTTGAGTTTTTGATATACTGTTTCTTTTTAATCATTTCACCCCATGCAATGCAATAAAGCCACTAAGGCACAAGGTGAGTATAAAAGAATAAGAAAAAGAAAACATTATTAAGGAAAGAGAACAATAAGTGAAAAGGAATTAAGAAGAAAGAAGATCGATACTGTATTTCAATTTTTGAAGATCAAAGTTGATTGGAAAGCAAGAAGCTGGAAGAGATTTCCACAGACAAGAAGTGTGAGAAAAGAAACTGTTAGCATATAATTTATGGTTACATTTAGCCATTTCAAGTGTAAAATGATGAGACCTTGCCGTCAATCTAGTACTGAGCTTAAATTCATAACATCCAGGTATCATAGAGCAAAGTTCATTAGAACAATAAACATGAAAGTATTTATAAAATAAGGTACAAGGAAGATCAAAGTTGATACTTTAAAATTGCTCATTCCTGGAAATTTTTTTTCTTTGGAAAATGAAGTCTCTCCTTAATAGTAAACAGAGAATCGATGTCAGATTCTAAATTAATCAATAATTAAGAATTTTATTGTCAAGAGAATATTCATCTGAACTTCAACTGATATCTGCTTAACTTGTTAAATGTTTTTACTTTACAAGCAGCCAATGGCCAGTTCCATCTTCTCAGCAAATAGGAATGTTAAGCCAAATTCAAACATTAGGCATTAATATACATGAATCCAATTCTCCCTGTGACAAATTCTATCACAGTCATCTTGTGTATGACTGTCTCTAACACACCACTATGGTAAACAGGGAAGGAAGTGGATGTTTTTTTTGTTTTTTTTTTGTTTGTTTTTTAAGCGTTTCACCCCAAGCAAGGCGGGAAGTCACTAGGACGCAAGGGGTTACAGAAAATTTGGAGCAAGATCAGAAAGGATGAGGAGAAGGGTAGTGGATAGATCAAGGCAGCTGGAGATGTCGATTGACATTACATTTGAATAGCTGGAGATTATAGCTCTCAGGGAAACTGGAATAGTGAAGGGAGTTTCACGTACAATAATATAAGTAATTCTAATTAGATCTTTGGCAATCAGTGACACAATGGTTGTCATAGCTATTAGCAGTCATGACAGAGTGATGTCAGTTTTAATTTTAACTTTAAAATTTTCAAATCCAGTTTTACTCTTGTAATTTGTAACAAATGAAAACATTTTTCTTCACAAAGTATTTCTATTTGCAAGGAAATATTTTAAAGATTTTTTTTTCCTTCAAATGAATTTGATTTTTCAATGAAACAAACAGTAAACATAAATTATTTTCTATATTTTATGTCTATATTTATCTCAATCGAATATTAAAATTATTCTTTCAATTCTATGAACTTCATGTGAAACTAAGAATTATGTTGGGAAAGAGTTGATCACCAAAGGGTATTGAAATAGTTTGCATTTTATTGTCTTTTACTAAAGTAATAAATTAATATAAACGTTAGTTTTAGTGGGAAATAAGAAATAATGTCAGATTAAAAATTTAAAAATTATTACTGTAAGCAATTTTGGTTATAGTGGAAAGGAGGAGGCAATTGAAGCAAATGTTGCTGAAAGTGAAACCTTCAGACAGACTTGTAATGTCATTCTTTACGCTGTTCAATAAAACAACACAAATTCTTCCATGTTCTTATTTCAATTGATCTTTGAACAATTGGCAGCTTTTAATAAGAATGAAACTGTAACATGTTTTGATGAAACCATCTAGAAAATATTTCTCTGAAGACCAGTGACCAAAGATGGCAAGTGGTATCAAGAAAAAGAAATATTCTATATCCATTTGCAGATATTGACCAAAATGAATGCATAAAGTTAGACAAATGTGTTATTTTTGCTTCTTTTCTGAGGCCATATTTTCTGATTTGAAATGATGAAAGATCAAATCAGAGAAAAATGAAAAAGAAAAGGAAACAAATTGGTTTTCTTTCAGTTAATCTAACTATAAAACAACTCCATGGTAATGGCAATATTGGCTATTTCCTTATAAGGAAACATTCAGCATTCATTGACTGAACAGCCAGTGCTATTTGAGTTACACTTTTCTTCCCTCCCTGAGATCAACATGTAGTATCTGTTCTCCCCATCTCTAATGATAATATTAACTGTTTCCTTATAAGAAAACATTTGATATTCAATGACCAAGCAGCCAGTGTTACTTTCAAATGAAATAAAAAATTCTCAAACAAGTTCAGCACTCCGACAAAATGTCTACAAACATTGATGATACTAAAGTACTGGGAATTTAGCTTTATCATTATTTTCATTGTATTCAAATCTAGAAAATATACCAATAGTCCTTCTAATGCAAATACCAACAAGTAATCTAGAAATTTTAAACAATATTAGTATTTACCAAGTTTATTACAGCATCAGTTTTAATAGGTAGTAGGAAGATTGTCATGCACCAACTCTTAAATTTGAAAAGCCTGTTTATATGGCTGCCATGAAAATCGGCATTCAAATTCCTGATTACTTTTATTTTGGCTTGAACCCTGGTCATTGGTGCCAGTAGGGAATCCACAACTATCTCAGCCACAAAGTAGGTGTGACAAGATTTAGACAAAATCTTATTCAACTTGATTTTGACATCAGCTTGTTTTTGACTTTTTTCACTTCAACATTTTTTTTTGCAGTTCAACATGGCCGTGTCACTTTGTGCTTTGTTCAAGATAGCCTTCATGAGAACATCACACACACATTTTATAGGAATAAGTAAGTACATATTTTATGAGAATAAGTTAAGTATTCAGCATCCTGATACCACTTTCTTATCAATGTTGAATTTTGTACCAATCTGTGCAAAAAGTGGATCAAAGAGCTTACTCAGCTTCATACAATATTTCAGGGAACCTCAGCTTCTAATTGGTCAATAAACACACAAGTGGGCATTGCACTCCACCCACGCATGAATCTTTTTCCAGCATGTGACCAAGTCAAGTTTTCCCCCTCTTTTACTAGGAGCCTATCACGTGGTTTGTTGTTTTGTTCGTGTGTTGTTTGATTTATTGAAATTGTCATCTTTGATAATGGCTTATGTAAGCCAAAAGCTTAGAGTGGATTTATAAATGTATCAATAGGGTGTTTTCCTTTTGTCTTTCAACGATAATGTGATTAAGCTTATCAGACAATATGATAAAACTTGTCTATATTATTTAATGAAACATGCATTAATGAATAATTGCTGCCTAAATATACACAATTTATATATATATATATATATATATATATATATATATATATATATATATATATATATATATATATATATATATATATATATATATATATATATATATATATGTATATATATATATATATATCATGTATATATATATATATATCATGTATATATATATATATATATATATATATATATATATATATATATATATCATGAATATATATATATATATATATATATATATATATATGTATATATATATATATATATATATATATATATATATATATGTATATATATATATATATATATATATATATATATATATATATATATATATATATATATATATAAAACTGAACATTGAAGTCAACACTTGTTTTTTTCTTGGCTATTTATACAGGTCAGTGGTGCATTGTGGGTAGTCTATTTTGGCAGTTATTTTGTCAGATGTCATTTATTTGTTTATTTATTTGGGTTAAATTATTTCGCTTGTTTTTATTTATTTTTATTTTTTATTTTCACTTCTTATCTTATATATTTATTTATTTACTTTTATTTTAATCGGTGTTTTCTTAACGTAGTAAAAATTTGTTTATATCGCTTATTTAATAGTTTTGTTATGGTTTGGGAAGATAATTATTTATTTACACACATATATATATATATATATATATATATATATATATGTAAAAATTTTTCAGATATAATGAAAAATTTATCAACAAAAAGACAATATGAATAAAAACAAATGGAAAACTTATCTTGGCCAATGCATTTCATCTTCTGATGGATTTTATCCAGGCAAATGTAAGGAATTTATTTTGCAATAAGTACTTACAAACAAAAGTTAAAAAGTTGTTGGTTTTTCAGAATTTTTAAAATTTAATGATATTCATCTACTTCAGGCTAACTATAAACATTAGAAAAAATCTTTGAAAAAAATGGAAAAAAGTTTTTTATGTTACATGTTTGATCCATTTCATCAAACTAAAGTTACATTTACGTTGATGTGATTATGTCTGTGCGTGTGTTGTAGAGTAGTTTTCACAGTGGAGGCTTGTATTCACTAAGTCGGTCCTAAAAGGGTCTGACGTACAAAACATTAGGAACATGAAATAATAGTTAATGATGCAGCAATCTAGTTGTGGTGGTTAATACTTCAATGTCCGACCTCGACTGACTCACCAACTCCACTGAGCCCCCTGGTGATTGCTACTACTACTACTTATTATATCTGGGAGAGTCTATTAACAATAGAATAGGTATGTTCCAGTATAACAGCATGTATAGTCACATCTGAATATACACCATTTTAGTCTGATGAATTCATAAATGACAAAATGTGTCACATGAAAAAATGTTTCTACTTTCTTATATAATGTTTCTAAAATTTATAAACTTGATATATAAAAATTTATATATCGTTTTGACATATATAAATATATAATTAGTCTAAATATATACATTTATTATGAGTATTAATTTTTAGCTCTGTTATTTTACATTGAGCACTCTTTTATTACCACCAAGACTCATTGTATGCTATTTTATGATTATATGTGTGTGTGGGATATAGTTTGTATGGTATGTCAAGCCATGAATACGTCAGAAGAAAGCAGGAATATTGACAGTATGATGAGATTGTTGTTCTCTGCTTCAAACTAGATCTCTTTCTAGTTCACTCCACATCAAAACCTGTTGGCCAGATATGAAAGCTAAGAAAGCAAAATTAAAAATAAAAAATTGTCCTCTGTGCAGGGCCTCCAAGCATCACATCTGCCTCACAAAACAAATCCTCCAAAAAATTTATTTAAATACAATTTAAAAGGAGCCAATCACGAATGTTGCCACTGAAACAAAAGTATAATAAAAAATGCTGAGTCCTGTATCCTCCCTGACTGCTGAAAAGGATGCCACTCGCAACACAGAAAGGTGAGTAAGCAGGCAGACAGTCATAGAAACCACCAGTGGCCTTTGTCAACTGATCCGACACAAACTTCAGAACCACTCACTACTGACTCCACCATCCTCCAGGTTGCTTCCCTCACTCACAAATAAAGTTGTGATCTTTTATATCAGCAATACAAAGAATTTTATCTTAACAATTATTATCTTCTTTTCTTTCTGTCTCACTGCTAGAACTTTATTGTTTTCATTTGTTCTCATGTAGTGCGCTTTATAACAAATGTCACCAAAATAAAATAAACATTGGAATGACAAAGCTATGACAATCACAAAATGTCTATTGATGTGTTAAGTATCAATATAACACACACCTGTGTCTAAATAGATTTTCAACATCAGAGAAAATGATTATATTTCTCTTTTAATAAAATGAAAAGTTATAGAATGGGGTCAAGGTACTGCAGGTTGTGCCAGGAGTAGAAATTAGTGATTGTTATATTTGAGAATTACAGTGTCTTTCTAAAAGAAGCAAAAAAGCAGTGATAAAGGCCAAATGCAAACATGTATGGGACTATGTTCTGGAAAACAGTGATAAAGGCCAAATGTTCATTGTAAGACAATAATTTCTCCTTTATTATTAATATCTAGACAAGAAAAATATTTTTGGCCTTTCAAAAACAATTTTTTTCATAAAATACTTCTAGTTTTGATTGTATTTTTTTGTTGGAAATTTACCTGAAATATGGGCAGTCTATTTTGTTTTTCTTTCAGCTACTAATTACTATTATTCAGTTACTGTACATGACCAGTTTGCTGAAAATTAAACTTGACACCGATGGCAACAACAAAGATATTGTAAAATAAACATTTCTTTTATTAGAAGTGTTATAGAATTACATTTTCATACTTTCTCTTTCTCATATATCACCTAATGATAATAAAAGCATGAAACTTAAGTAGCTATTCAACTTTTCTCTTTTGTGATGTGATGCTGTGAAGCATTTTTGTTCTGTCTTAACAACCTCAGCATTGAGCACTGTTGGTTAATGTTTAGGTAGGTGTCTACCTTTTGGGCTTTTTTCTTAGTTTCTTTATGTTCTTATTTTTGTATAGGTTTTCTTGATTTTTGTTGTTCAAATGTTGCATTCTGTGTCATTTCTGGGTCCCAATGCTACTACATAAAAAGGTATTAATTAAAAGCACCATTTCTTTTTGTTATTTGTCTTATTAGGAGAGTGGTGGCAGCTTGGATTCTAAGAGGCAATGGGAAAAATAATATCTCACTTTGGCTCAATGTCCCTTCACAGGTTCTCTTAGCCTGTCTCTAAACCTGGGTGTGGGAGGTGTGTAGACGCTTTAGAATTCTTGTGATTCTGTTGAATGTTTTGGACCTATATCCTAATCCAGACAAAGGCAATCCATCACTATCTGAATAGGACACCCAAGAAGCACTCCAGCCAACCACTGACTATTCTGGCACTGGCCTTCACATTCTGTAACACAACACTTTGGATTTTGTATATATATATATATATATATATATATATATATATATATAATTTTTATATTCAACAGTTTCTCATAACTTGGACAATCTAGGTAGCTCACCATTCCAATACTAAGGAATCCTTCTAATATTCTTATAATCAGCTGTAGTCTTACCCTGCGTAGTCAAGTACTTGTGCTAGTAATAAATATTTTGCTTAGCACCTTGAAAAAAGAGAATTAGAAGGAAAAATGGCTACTGATGAACATGGAAAATATTAACTAAATTAGAGGGGGGGGGTAAAATTCAGCTATCCTAAATATTTTTTGGAAATTTTGTGAATTTCAACTTCCCTAAATTTCTTGTGCTAAATCATTATCCAGATTCTTGAACTCTTAAAATTAACTCAAAACACACCAATGAAGAATTCCTTGAAAATAAACCCAGAAAAAAAGAAACAGCAATAGAAATGGAATTGTCTATATTTCTGAGATGAAGTATTATGTACACATTATTGTCCTCATCTTTGTCGCCATGTTTATCACAATGTTTCAGCTGTTGTACACTCTGGCCTTCTTCAGGTGGTTGGAATGTTGAACTGAACCCTTTATTTCACTCACTGGGGTAGACTGAACTAGTTCCACATGCCATGTCTAATGGATGTCAGTTATCTCCTGTTAATTCCCCTCTGAAAGTTCTCCACTGCCTTAACCACGTGTTGAACTCACATTCTTTGGGTCCTGTCACTAGATCTAACTAACGCCTTTATCCAATGTGCCATGTATCCTTGAGGACACATGGTACAGTGGATAACAGGAGATAACTTGACATCCATTAAACATGGTAGAACAGTCTACCCCAGTGAGCAAAATAAAGAGTTCAGTTTGACATTCCAAATTCCTGAAGAAGGCCAGAGCATACAAAGGCCAAAATGTTGTGATAAACATGGTGACAAAGATGAGGACAATAGTCCAAATAATGTAAATAGTGTAAAAATAGAATTATATAACTAATCTTCAAACCAAATTCAGGAAATCTAATTAAATTCTAAGTCAGGGATGAGAATGTTGGTTACAGTCAAGAAAATCAATTCAGTTTCATTTGCTGGTCAGTGTGGCAACTGATTCAATGCCCATTTGAATTTAAATTTTCCTTTCTGAAAAAATAATCTAAAAAGTTATGTTTTTTTCTCTATTTTTTTTTTAATAAATTTATATTACCTATACTCATATTTCAAAATGCTACTTTGGACTTTATCTTTATTTTATGTTTTCTACTGTTTCACAAGTGAAAACGTAAAATTTTGATTGGCTGGATTTCATTAATATTCATTTAAAGATTTGCCAGATTGCATTACCAGGTTGCTCTATTTTTGATTCATCGCTTTAATAAAACTCCAAATCATTTTCAGCCATTGCTCTCATTCTTGTTAATGACCCTCCTTTTTTATTTAATTATAAGCATAATACCCATAAAAAATAGTAAGATTATATATGAAATAACATTCTCGCCTAGGGTCAGATTAGTAGTTGTGCACTTTGCCAGTGGTCAAAGGGACACAATCCAAATGAAAACAGATCAACAAAAACTGGACATTGATTGTGGACAAAACAATGGATTGCTGTTTGTCAATCTTTAATTTTCCTCTCAAATATTAGTTGGTAGTATAGCCGGTATGTACCCCACCAGAAGAGTTGGGATTTTAACTTTCACTGCTGCATTGTTATAGCATTGTTGCCTGGCTGTGTTGGTCCCAATTGGAGTAGGAAAATAGGAAATTGCTATTCACTGGAAATAAATGACTATAAAATATGCTAACTGTGGTTTCTCATGGGTGCCACCTTTTTTGGCTTTGATCAGACCCTCTGTAGTACAGACTAACCTAAATGCCATGCCACTCATCTTTTTATTACATTGAGTATTGAGTGGCATGGCATTTAGGTTACAATGTTACAATATGACCATTTTTCTGATATCTTTTTATTACATTGAGTATTATCAGAAAAATGGTCATATTGTATACTAGTTGTTGTGTAGGAAACCTACCACCCCTCTTGAAGATGAACTTGTCTACAAACAAAGACGTTAAATAGTGGCATGTCAAAAGACAGACAGAGTCGGAGAAGTTTTTGGACGAGTTAGTTATAGACTACTCAGGCGATTTCTGTACCTACTTACCAACCGAATAAACCCCTTTTTATTGTTATGTGTTATTTAACATTTGTCTTTACTAACCCCAAATCAACATCATAACACTAATATATATTGCTTCGGAAATTAGCACTAAGTGCAAGTTAGTTTATAATGCAAACACTATAGACTGACATTTACCAGTGTTCTGAAAATATCAACAGCAAAGCGATATAAGTTTTTGTAAAATACATTCCCAGAAGTGGACGTATTAATCAATGGGTACAAAAGAGACTGGTGTAGTGGTTTAAATAAGCCAAACTTGGAAAAGCTTGGGAAATGATAAATTAGTGGGTTTTTGATAGTCAAATTAACCCCCAGCAAAGCCATTCTGAAATACCTCACTATAACCAGATGGATTTTGGCCTGTCCGGTAGTTGTGGCCTAAGGAAGATGATGAAAGCTGACATCATCACCTCTCAACACCTGTACAATTTTTATAGGTCTTGTTATTTATAATAATTATCAACTTTTTAAAATTTTTATTATTTCTTTTATTTTATAATAATAATAGTAATAATGATAATAATAATTTTTTTTTATCGTCAAAAAAATAATTAATTTAGCTTTGCTTGATAACTACAAATTTATTTTGTGGACACGTTCATATTTTTTTTCTTTCTTTCTTTCTTTAATTGCTTTTGCAAAAGACATAAAAATTAAATATATTCTATTCCCAATTATTTTTATCACCTTTGTTACCAGTTGGTCATATTAATAGGTAAGAATACGTGAGGCTGATGCTGCTCAGATCACCAGTCGTTTAAGAAATGAAAATTGATAAATTCTGAAAAAGTTCAGATTCTTTATTTTTTTCACACACTTTTATTGAACATTATCCTTTGATTTCTGCTAAAAATGCCTTTTTGTTTTCAAATTACTCATTTTTTATTTTCTGCAGATGTCCCATCGAAAGTTTCCCGGAACCAATAAAGTTTATGACCAATAAAACAAACCCTCACCTGATTGAATCGACAGGATTCAAGGCTTTTCAGTTTTATGACAATGGAAATGTTCAATTCACTTGCTATGTGGAACTTTGTACCAAGGAAAAAGATCCTTATTGTTTAGTTGTAAGTAACAGTCTAAAATCCCAGAAGGAAATGAAGTGAAAACTCAATGTAAGGGAGATAACTCTAACTTCATTGAAGGCAATGTGTCAGTTTTTTTAACCTTTAACATTCTGCAATATTCACGTGTATTACTTTTGATTTTGAGACCTCAACTGCAGTTGCCTCATTCTGATTTTCAAGCAAGGTGATTTTTTCACTGTCGCTATAGCAGGACATGATAGCATAACCATAGGATTCAAATATAACATTTGTTCAGCAAATGGAGTCATTTTGATTTGGGAGTAAATCATCTTTAGAATGCTAATGACTAAAACAGCAGCATTGCATCAAATGTCTTCTCGAGAAGCAGTTGCTGTGCGACAGTTTCTATTGGAAATAAGCTGGAGTCATTCTTTCAGGACCAAAATAACAAAATGTACAAATACCAAAAGAGAGAAACATATTCCTTTCTGATTTGATTCTTTCATTGTGCTTTCCAAAAAATATATTTTCTCTTTCCAATGAGATTAGCTCCAAAAATCTCTGAGGTTCTTTTACAGAGTGAAACATAAGTTTCTCAGTAACCTTGAGTTTTAAAGCCAAACCAACCGACCTTGCTAGTTTTAATAAGAGATTAGCAATAAAAGAATCAAAATTCCAAATTAGTTTCAATAAAGTTTCAGAACTGATGTATTTTATCATTAGAACACAAATTTTGTTGTGCGTGCAGAAGACGATGACATTCCCATCTCTCTTCCAAGTTCTATGCACACTAACTGCAGGAATATAAAAGAGGGCCATAACCTCAGCACACAAAGTATTGGTGCTGCAGTTTCCATAGAAAGTAGGTTTTTTTTATGATGTGTTTTTTAATTCAAAATGATCCTTCTCCTAGACTGGTTGCCAACCAAGATTTCCTTACTACATAATCGATAGTTGGCATAGAGAAGAGATGGATTCATACCTTTCCCAAGCGTATTTACATATCAGTGAATATAAGAAACTTGACTTGAATTCAGCTTTGCTGGTTTCTCATCCTGAACTGCTAACCACGACACCACCCACACATCTTCGAAAATCCCTTCCTAGAAACACACACACAATTTGGCAGTTATGAAGACGCTGTCCTCACATTTCAATTCTGTTTTGGAAGATTTGTATTTCAAAGAAACAAAGAAATTTGTTGAGTTAAAGATTTGAATTCTTTCAGCAGCAAATAAATAAGAGTAGTAATGATTTTTTTTAATCATTTCACCCCAATCAAGGCAATAAAGCCACTAAAACACAAGGGGTTAATGATTGTGAAAGAAAAAGACAAATATTATTAAGGAATAAGAGAAGTGGAATCAAGAAGACATCACTTTTAAATTTTTGAAGATTAAAATTGACAGGAAAGCAAGAATCCTGATGAGAATTCCACAGACAAGAAAAGAAACTCTTAGCATTGAACTTATGGTTCCATCGGTTGCCATTTCAACTGTAAAATGACGAGACCTTGCCATCAGTCTAGTACCATGCTTAAATTCATAAAGTCTAGGTACCATAAATTAAAGTTCATCAGAACAATTACCATAAAAGTATTTATAGAAAAATCAAATGTTACTGCAATGGGAAAGTGACTGAACCCAGGATGCCAGATCAAGACTAATAATATTGCAGATTCTTAGAATTTTATCAAGAATCTCTAAATATATAACAGGAGCACCAGACAAGATGTAACAACAATATTTAAGGAATTGAAGAATGGTAGACTTATAAATATGTTAGATTCTGGGGAGAACAGTGAACCAATTTTCTTTGCAGCAGACCTAGCAATGGATCTAATACTATTAATTGATAAATTATAAATCTTGAGAAATTTGCATTTTATCTAAATGTCCATTATTGAGTCAAAAATTAATAATCCTAAACTTAATAAATATTTATAAAAATGAGTTTCCTATAATTCATTTTTTCCAGAAAGTGATTTTTTTCAATTCTTGAATTTATAGCCAAATGATTTTTTAAAATGAGAAAACTTAGTTTTATTATAGAAAAAGTTCAGAGCAACCAAAAAAAAGAATTTCCCCAAATTCTGTTTTGTCAGCTTATTGAAAATGTTGACCCACTAAGAATATTTCAGCAACATATCTCATGCCATGAATGTTTTTTAACAAATGTAACCAATTAAAAAATTTTAAGTATGAAGGATTTTATTTACCAGAATTTCTTAATCATTAAATTTTCTAACGCTTTAACAAAATCTCCCTTAAGATTTGAAAATCAAAATGCAACTAAAACTTTTCTGAGTTTTTTTTTTCATTAATTTCTTTATCTGAAATGCTGACTAAGTCTTTTGTATTTTTTTTTTCAATACATTTTTATTTATTTATATTTTAAATATTTTGGCCAATCTAAACTTTGACCCTGTATTGAATCTAGTTGTTCTTTGAAATTACTTAGTACATCTTTTTATTCAACTATCCACAGCTAAATGTTTCATAAACTTAAGCTTTATTCTTGTTTTGAAGAAGAAAAAATACAAAAGATTTTGATGTACATCTTGAATCTGATGAAGTGTGGTGGTTGTAGCCATAATATACAAGGATACAACACTAAGTTTATTGAAAGACATGTGTTGGAATGAACTGCACATCAGATTTTGAATAGAAAGAAACACAATAAAAGAAGAGTAAAAATCAAGAAAAAGAAGAATTTACAGACATTGTGCATCTGCAAACTTAGCTTCAGACAAAAGGTTACCAAGCATTTTGTCAACATTGTTGAAGAAGAGGTCCCTTTCAGTCTACACCTAGCTTCTTTAAATAGTAGTACTCCATACTTCCCTAACCTGATAGAGTTATTGGTGAAGAATACTTCATGAATAACATCATGAAAGAAAAAAAAAAGATGAGTCTTTGAATTTAGTGCTTTTATAACCAGGGTTGCATGAGGCAGTGATTGGTCCATTTTTTAGCCATTCATTCTCTGCTTGATTAATTTTATTTTCTAATTGATTATTCTAAATTACAATATAAGACTAAAGATTGGATCATCAAAACTGATGTGATAGAATCAGTTATGAGGAAGAGAAATACTTTGAAATTTATAACTAATCCCCATAAAAACAATTTTTTATTCTATTGTCAAATCTGTTTCTAATGCAAACTGCTGTCTCTTTTGCTTTTTTCTTATAGTCTGGCTGTGTCCCAAGAGGAACATTCATGCATCCTTACACTAAAGTTAAAACTTCAATTCATATAGATACTTCTGGTAAGTTTTGTGGGGTTATTTAACACTTTTACAAATAACAACTCTAATGTTAAATTTGTACAAATTGTTTTTGTACATTTTCAGGTTATCTATTTATTAGTTTAATCCAATCAAATTTTTTAATTATCTTTTTTTCATCAATTATAACATTGATTGCCAAAAGTCAATTTCAAAATCTGACTTCAGACATCAACTTAGACAATAAAAAAATCTTTGAGAGTTGATTTATAGCTTCAACTGAAATCTTAACATTATTTTCACACTAAAAGTATCACTGTGAAGAAACACATTGTTGCTACCCAGAGATGAAAATATATGAGAAAATGTCAGGTACAAGATAACTCATAATTGGGTGTCATAATAATAATTGCCAACCCTAAGTTAATCTCTTGGTTGGCAGTCAATGTGTTAAACAATTAATTTACATTTGACCAGTTCTTTTTATTTTTCATCATTCTTTCAGGCAATCAGTATTTCTTTTGTAAAGAAAAATCAAATGAATTTTTAAAGATTCTATTCATGTTGTTAGACTCTTATATAAAAAAAAATACAAGAAAACTGTGACTGGCATCTTGACAAAATTTTAAGCCAAAAGACATTCATTTGCAAAGATGGAGAAACTGCATTCAGAGATTTCTTGGCATCCAAACCTTTACAATTTTATCATAAAGGCATAAATAACCTTGTAACTCGATGGCAGAAATGTATACATGTTCAAGGTTCCTATTTTGGCTGATGTAAACAATGTTTAAATATATTAATTCAGGTGTGATGTCATTTGTGGCAACATTATGACAATGTTCTTCAATAGTCTGTTGTTCACTACACCTGTAATGACATCCAAGGTTGAGTGTATATGCATATATACCCAACTTGCTATGTGCACAGGTTTGTCTCCTTGTCTATGATCGATTTGAAAAAAAAAAAAAAAAGGAAAAGTCGTTTTTCAAGACTTCTTGGTTGGAAAGTAGCAACAATACTTATTTCTCACTTAAGTGTGAGATCCTTCCTTCAGCTGAATGACTATCTCCCTAACTTCATTGGCCTCTAGGCTCAGCAACTCCTGATTCCTAACTTCCAGTCCTTGTCACTGGTCATTCTCACTTCTCTGGTCACCTACTTACTTCTCTCAGAGCTGGATCCACTTTGTCCCCAATTATATTGCCTCTTTCTGCTTATATGCATAATCCTGGGTTATCACTCACTCCATCCACTTGTCTTTTCAGAAGATTTGAGACCATCCTAAAGCCACGTGGGTGGCCAAATCTTCAAAAGACTACTTTTATGGCTATCTAAAATCACTTATAAAAATTTTATGTTTCACAATTCAAAGGCAACTGGAGACATAAATCCTGAAACATTAACCCTTAAGTTCATTCAAGACAGACCAGAGACAAAATTTGTACGAAACTCCAATAGCTGAGTGGACTTAAAAAGAAAGGAATTTATCTCCTTATCTTCTAAAGATGTGTGAGCAATCAGATTGTTACACAGGAATAAAAGTTTATTCTAAAATCGGCCATTATTTTCCGAACAATCTAAGATGTTCAACTTCTTTATCTCCTATACTAACTTTAGATAGACATGTTCAGTTATATTTTATCTGGTTTCATACAGACTTAAATAAATCACAAAGAATTTGTCACTTCCATTCTCTGTAATGTCATTGATTTTTTTTTTGTTGATCAAGAGTGCAATCAGGGGCAAAAGGCAACTTTAATTTCACGTCTAATTTCATTTATTAAAACTTGTTTCATTTCATTCTAACTTGTTCACTCACACTCTCAAATATATAACCACAGATGTAAAAATGATTAATTACATTATTTCTTGAATTTTGTGACTTTGTTGAAGGTAACATTTTCATTATTTTAAACTATAGGCAATTTTCACTAAGGAAGATCATACATGTAAACAACTTTTGCTTTAGAAACAGGAAATATTGTTCTTTAAATATTTTTTTTGTATAATCAAATGAACAAGTTAGAAAGAAATCTCACACAGAAGCATATCTTAAGTGCACTGCCATAAGTTAAAATATTATACCAATTTTTTAATTATAGGAAACCAAAGAAAAAAAATCAACTTTTCTCCATTTCTGAGGCAGATGCTTTCCCATGTGGTCTTCTGTAGTTGAAATGACTGTGGTGCATTGAATTATTTTTTCCTAGTCATCCAGTCTGCCTTATGATGAACCATATCTTAGGCAGCCCACTATTTGCAAAACATGGGATCATACCTGTCTTGTGTTAACCATTTTCCAAAAAGAGTCAAGTCACCTGTTAAAGGAATCCTTTTTAAGCAACTGAATTCCATATCTTAGAATTTAAGATAGAAAAAGAAAATAATCTTAGGAAAATGAGACATTATCCACACTTTAATGTTGCTTTGAATTGGAATGATACCATAATTTGGAAAAGTCAATATAAAAATAGACAGGGGAAATAACTCAACAATTTCTCTTAACTAAACTGTTTAATCTGCAGAACATTTTTTTTTCTTTTTCCCCAACAGGTGCCATCAACCAAATATCATTCATACTGATGCCTGCAATAGCCATCATGATAACCATCTTCACAAAAATCAACATGTTTTAAAGAGGAACCTTAAAGAAAAACAAGAATCAAGTTGACATATATCTGAAGAAAATTTACTAAATAAATAATTTTATGCAAAATCCATAAATATCTTTAAAATACCTGAAATAATATTGAGTTTTTCATTATTTGTCCCTAATCAAATTTTTATTGAGATCTACTGACAAAATGCATCAGAAAATCACTTCCTAGCTAAAGAACCTTTCTTCAATGTTTCCTTTTTCATCAGTTTGACACAAGCTAAGTGAATTCTAATATTTTATTCCTGTCAAATAAATTTATTTTTTGATGAGAAAGATTTGATATTTTTAAGGATTGAAAAATCAAAGAAGTCATGATCAAGTATCACAATGCAAGAAGAACCTCCACCATTTGGGGTGGGGGAAGCAGGCTCCCGAGTGGATGCTTGCCTGAACAGTCCTGGCCACTTCAAATCTAGTTAATCCTATCTATACATAACCACAATCTTCACTTCTTACATTCATAACACACATCTCATTCAGTAACCTTCTACCTTGAGCGGCTCTTGAGCCTTGTATTGGATGACCTTTAGTAAAAAAAGAAAACTTACTTTTACCTGATCTTTGTTTTTTTTTTTAATGGGGGTTCATGTAAATATCAAAACATTGATTTCTTGATTTAATTACTCCCTATGATTGAGCCCTATGACTCTCATTGCCGTTTGTGTTTGGTCAACATTCTTGCAGAAGAACAAGAAGTCTAAAAATATCCATTCGAGTTATGCTGACTTTGGGACATAGAACAGTCAAGTCTATTAATTTCTTTCAAAAATCAAAATTGACTGCAAGTTTTTTTGTTTTTTTTTTATTTGTTGCTTTATGAAAATGGCCAAAATATTTGAACCATAAATGTTGTCTCTGGTGTTAAATTATTTTAGGTTTGTGCTAGTTACCCTTAGTTGCTAAGTTTTGATACAAGAGCAAGTATGTGACACTGATTGAGAATTGAACACCCAGCTAATAATCTACAAGACTTTGATCACATTTGCACTAAAAAGCACCATCTTTTTTGTTCACATTAGGAGAAATATTGGTGAAAATCTGACACAATAAATATAATCAGAGTTCAAAGTTTCTTGCAGATTATTTTAATTTAATAATTTTAAAAGTAGTTAGTTAATATTTGCAAGATTGCAGGTACTTATCCATAAGAGATTAATATCAAAATGAAATATGACATTCAAAATCTCTCCATCATAACCAAAAAGGTCGAATTTGCAACTGATGTACCTAGAGAAGTGTGCTCTCATACTGAACAGCTGTTCTTTGTGTGTTATTTAGTCACAGTCGGGTTGAGTGCGATATGTCATACATGCTTGTTTCTTTTGGTTCATAACTGACTAGGCAGATTTGCCCGCAGTAAGCTGCCATTTCTTTCTGCAGCAGACTAGTTGCCAACTAAGGCTATAGAAACCAGTCTGTCCTGCTATTTAACCCATAGTTAGTGGGGAGAAGAGATGGATTCATACCTTTCTCATAAGTCATATAAGTGAATGTAACCAATTCGACTGAATTTGAACTCAGGTCTCCAATTTCACTTTCAGAGCTATTATCCATTACACCACCTGCACATCCAAAAAGGTCATTTGTTCTCTTTATTATGAATTGAATTGGAAATCTTATTAATTTCTCCTGACCCAACAAGAGTTGAACCTTTTTACAGTGAGAGTTTAAAGCATGATGAAGGGGATGGTTGACTTCAGGGATAAAAATGACAAAACTTGTTGGAATTTTCATTTTTTTGCAATTACCAACTAAAAAAAGAAAAGAAATTCACCAGTTATTTGCTTAGAATTTCATAGTTTTCATGTTTTAAGAATATTTGATGAGAGTTTAAGAGATTTGTTTTCAGTCTGAATTTTTCGTATGTGGAGTTATCATTAATAATATTCAGACTATTGTCCTCATCTTTGTTGTCATTATCACAACATCCTGGCCATTATACTCTTTGGATTTCTTCAGGTATCTGTCACTCTGGATAACCTTCTGGGAATTTAAAAGTGAACCCTTTATTTAATCTACAGAGACAGACAGTTCTCATTTCACTATCTATGTCTGGAGATATCTAGTCTTATTCTTATTTGAAGCAAAGAAAATTTACAAGCCATAGCTAAAAACATCTTCTCAACCTGTGAACCCAAACAGCTATTGAGAATTCATTTCTCTTTGCATCTTTACTTTGGGTGGATTTGAAAAATGGTTCAGATTCTTTCCAATTTGACATCCAGCACAATTAAATGTGGTTCTAATATTTTGAGTTTTTTGTTACTTTTAGTGCAATATTTCATCTGATGTCCTATCTTCCTCAGGTTGTGCTGAATGCACCATGTATTTGAGAATACATTTTTTGGGAAACTTAAGTGGAAGATGAACTAACATAAAATGTCATATGGCAAATTTTAACCTTCCCATTTCTCTTTCAGATGTTTCAAGAATATTAATATGACAGTTTCCTATCTGATGCAAGAAATAAAAAGGCATGTTATTGTTAAATAAGTTTAGCAGGCTATTTTTTTTTTAGAGAATTGTATTTCTGCTCTGACTTCCTCAGGTTGACTTTGAAGCCAGATACAGGATAGAACAAAGGAAATTGATTTTGATCAGCTGAACTAGCATGGGAATGATAGATACAGAAAGGTTTTTTGAGGAGTCAAGTCTTAACCATTGAACAATGTACATAGTCTAGTTAGAAGATTTATATGTCAACGTTAATAAACTAGCTAAGTTAAAATTTTATGCTGAAGATCTCTCTTATTTTTTAACCAAAATAACTAGTGATCACCAGCCAAGAGAAGGGGAGGGAGAGAGAGAAGATACATGTGAGTGAATTGACACCATCAACAAAGACCTCCCCAGAATGAGGGTGCTATACATTATGTTCACTGCACAAACCATCAACCTTTTTTTTCCTAAATAGCCAGTTGAGCAAGAGGAATAACCTATGCTTCTGCACACACCCTACACAGGCACCCATAGAGATACACATGGAATCCATGTTTTCTTTCTGGGCCCGGGGGGGGGGGGTCTGTGAATGATGAGAATTTTCATAACGATATCACCCCCCTTAAAAAAAAATGCATCCTGTATCCTAGGTGTTGTTAAGGCAGAGATAAAAACCAGCAGATCCACACTATCAAGACTAATTGAACATGAAAGACAACATTCCAGGTACACAGTTGCTTCTGGGTCTGCACCACTGCAGATGTCCTCCAGGCTGAGGGTGAATTTATTGAAAGCCTCAGGTGAAGATAGAAAGAAGGACAAAAATTGTATATAATTGGTTCTCGATAATCTGGTGCACTACAAAGTTGTCATTCATATCTTCACTTTGTATCCAAACATTTCAGCTTTCTTCTGAGGAACTGTACAATAATCAAACTTAAAAGATTTTCTTTCATGTCACTCCAATAAGAACACCATTCAATTGCTACACTTTATGGTTCTATTGAGGAACCTGGAAAAGAAAGTACAAAGTCTTATATAATCCACTAACTGTAGCATCATCCCTCTGAAGTCCAAAAAACACTAGTTTGAAATGTTATGAATATAAAAACAACAAAAATAAAGATATTAGTTCAATTAATCTGTGGGATAATAAAAAATGTTTTACAACTTAAAACAATTTTCAGAAGCATTTAATCTATTTTATGTGTCTTGTCCCTCCTCAAGACGTAGGCAATCATGGCTCTCCACAACTGCCCGTCCCTTGTAGCGCTTAATAAATTTTGTTCTGCTGTTATTTCTCTTAAACCGTTCCACTATCCTTTTACTCACACTAAATATGTTATGCATTGTTTTCCTCTGTCTCTCTTGCCTTGTGAGTGTCTGATTGTTCAAGCCCTCTTTCCTCATTATGTGCCCTAGAAACCTCAACTGTCTTTCCTGATGTTAAGTATAAGTTTCCTTTTTGCTTCCATTTGCTTTGTTGTTGGTCACACATTCAGTATTTGGTATTCTCAGCATCCTTCTGTAGAACCACATTTCTGTTGCTTCAAGTCTTTTCTTCATCTTTGAGAAACACTCACTGCCATACAGGACAGATATCACATAACAGCTTAGTATTCTTTTCCTTGTTTCTAGCAAACAAAATACTTAAAACAAATTCTGACAAAATAACCAATTTATGTAAGCATATTCAATATTAATACAACTAAAACAACACCAACTAAAAGACATAAATATTTTGAGAATTTAAGACTTGCAGAGTTTTGCTCAATAGATAACTAAAATAAGAATATTCCTAAATCAATAAGTGATCAAAGGTTTTATCTCATTGACTGACTCCAGTGTTTCAGATAGTAATACTCCAATAACCACTTGTCTGGGTCGTATTGTTTGATAAACCTACTGAATTATTACCAGATCTCATATTGACATACTACAGAAACAAAAAATTAATCTTTCATTTCAAATATGAAATTTGTTTTTGCATAAAGTGAAAAGGATTAAAAAGAAATGTTCATATGTAATTTTATGAATATATAATCATATTTATAAAACCCATCAACATCACATAAAATACTGACCAAAAAAAACATGATAAATATTTAAAACTTCCTATCAGCAATCTTCATCTATGGAGAAGTTTTTATCTAAAATTCATATTTGTTTTTTCAACTCAATCTTTGCTGATAAAAAAAAAAAAAAAGAAATCCCTCTGAAAAATTGCTTGCACTATGTAGAGATTCTTGATAAAATCCAAAGAAGAATCTGAAATGTTATTGGTCCTGACCATCTAATTAGGCTTCAGTTACTTTCTCTCTGCAATAAAATTGCTTCCCAGTGCTTTTTCTATAAATATTTTCATTGTTCTGATAAGCTTTCCTCTTTGGTAATTAAACTTTTACACACAATACTAGATTGGTAGTGTGGCCTAGATGTAACCATAAGTTCTATGCTAACAATTTCTTCACTTGCACTTTTCACTTTTTCATTTTGTCAGGTTTCTTGCATTCCAATCCAAGGAAATGTCAATCATTC